GGATTCGAGGAGCGCGAGTGAAAATTCGATTTGTATAGAAAGGATGGCGTGGAAAAGCGCGTGTTAAATTCGCGCGAGTTTCTTCGCGAGTCATTAGCCGAGAATCTACGGGCCATGCTAATCGTCGTTGAATGACTATATACGTTTGACGAGGTAAACTCTATTTTTCCGGCGGATGCGGTCAATTAGAAAATGGCCGGTCGCACTTTCTCCCGGGGTTCCTGCGACGCCTTCGGCGCTACGTCGATTAGAAAAAAAATCTTGTGGGTCGTGACCCACATGGTCAGCCATCGCGACAGCTCTAACCTTCTACTCGTCGCGAGAGATTTTCGCTTGAGTTAGATCTACATACATTTTCATATACCATTTTTATATACCATTTATATACTACTTTTTATCGAGCTATTCGTTTCTCCAGGTAGCTTTGATCGCTGGGAGATGAAGTGACGTTCGCACAAGTTTTTCCAAATTTTCTCCGTATCTCTAATTGTGTGTCTTGCAAACGAAGATGTGTCCGACCTATTTTCATTTGGCTCATTAATGTTAGTCGATACTCGCATTCATTAAAATCCTCGGCGTTTCGATACGCAACAACATTCTCATGTTTTTTTCGCTCTACATCTGCCTTTAAACATAATGCGCGTGTTATCCCACAACGCTTACGCCGGTAATATATTGTGGGTACAATGCCCAGGTAACAAGCGAAAAGAAACCAGCGTCTAATATTCCCATACTAAATGTAAAATGTTCTATTGTATACATTACGTGCACAGGATGTAGCGATGGAAAATTTTCCGCTTCCGGACGACGATGAATCGCATCTGACGAGGTGACTGAAGATCAACCGTAACCGTTGATAGCAAAAATAAGATTTATATGAAACTTGATGAAAGAAAATCTTGATACGCATACTTGTTTTTGTACAAAGTATAACATTTTAATGTAAATCTTAGTTCCCATGACACGACAATACTATCTGCAAGTTAATTGATAAATGTGATTTAAGCCTGTCACACACAAATTGCGCTTCGTGCTTTAATTTAAGTGGATTTAATTATGAGGTCTAATTATTATTATTATTAGTATTATTATTATTATTATTATTACAATAAATCAGTATAGCGTAGAAATTATTTAGCATATATTTTTCAAATAATATAATTTGAAAATAAATAAAATTTAATAATAATAATAAATAAGTAAAATAAAATAAAAATAATTTGAAAAATAAATTTTTCAAACAATAACAAATAATCTAAAACGCGATTATCTTTCCGTATCTTCCAGAGCAACTTTTTATTTCGTTTCAGAGAAGATAAACGGCCATGTCTCTCAGAGATAGATGTGAAATGCTACTCTCGATAACGCACGTATCCTTAAGATAAGGCTGCGGAAGAATTTCCTGTAAGTTGATAAAATTTTCTCTAGAATCCTCGTTCGTCGTCGGTATTTAAACACGAATGTACATTACTAGAGATAGCTCCGATTTTAACGAGAGAATAGTCACTGCAACGTTTCAAAATCTTCATATTTTCAAAGTGCATTTTAAATTTAATTCATTCGACACGTGTCCGTGATATATCTTTTTCTTTTGTTTTCTTAAGTCATCTCGAGAAGATAAAGCATGCGGCTTTAAATTTTCGAAAAAAAGTCACGTCGCGTATCGGCTTTGACGTGGTTTCTTTGCATTTATATTGATTACTGTCGATCTTTAACACGAGCCTTTCGATTATCGATAACCCGCGAACGTTATCGAGGCATTAACGCGGTGCCTGGTGGCGCTTAATAATACTTTTGAGTCTTCTCACAAAAATAGCGGCGAATCGATAACCTTTGTTTCAGACAGAATCTTTATTACGTCAAAGACACTACTCGTTGCTGTTCGAAAAATCAAAATAACGTAGAATAAGATCGCGCGACATTCTTGATTTAGCTCCATCGAATTGCACGAATGTCTCATTTCTCGGCAACTTCGTGCAAACAAAAATAAAAAAAGATTCGTTTACAAGTTGCATCGTCATTTTCTGATGAATGACATGTATTAAATTACGCATTGCCATACATTACAAACGTGTATTCCTGAAATACAAGACAGAAACATGCGCGCGTGACGAGCGAGACGGACTTTGAAACAATGGGACAGGATTCATTTGAAAGCGAAGACTTTTAAAGACGTTAAGTCTAAATTTGAATTTAAATATTATTAACATTGACAATTTCGTTGTGCTATCATTCGTTTTGGCGCATTCTCACTCGAACCAAGAAAATGATCGTCCACTACTTTTGAAACATACTGTAGCTAATGACGCGGCCTTTGGTGCCCCCGGAGTGCAACTGGCGAACGAGACGGCCTTGTAAAAACTGATACTGTTACTTCTGAGATGCTCAGGCGACTCTCCCAGCAGCTATGTCCAACTGTACTCACGAAGGGAAACAGGGTGAGAAACGAATCATTATCTTTTATCCGTACAAGTGCGTTGTTTAACGTCGTGAACAACTAATTGTTGCTGGATTTATTATCGACAGTGCGCCGTTATCAGCGTTGGGTAGTTATGCGTAATTATAATAAATATATCACTATTCAAATCTGCCTGCTTGGAATGAATGAAATTAATAGCGCAAATTATGAGTGAAACACGTGTCAAAGTCGCTCTGTTGATATTAAGTTAATAAAATAATAAATATAATAAAATAATCATATATATATATATATATATATATATATATATACAAATAATATCATTTTTTATGTATTTATGTATATTTATATATTTATGTATTATATTTTATATCATATATACATATAAATTCGTAATATATATAATCTAATGCCTAAAAATAAATAATATCTGGATAATGTAATAAACAAAGCACGTAATTTTTTTTGCAGAGTTACAGAGCAACCTATTGGCTGTGTATTTAAAGATATATGATAGTACTTCACTAATCAAATAATTATTTCTACTCGAAAAAGTTTAAAATGATAAAAATAATCGGTATTTTACAAAATAATTTCCAAGTGCAAATATATCTATATTTTTACTTTACTATTCATTTAAATAAATAAAGTAATAAATTTTAGAGAAAATAATGTACAAAGTAAGGCATAGGAAGATCTTGATTTTATGACCAATTTATAAAATATAAAATTTATACTTTGGATAATATTTTTATCAGGAGAATTAAAGACATTGTGTATGTTTTTTACATTTAAATAATATTAATAAATTAATATTAATTAATTTTATTTTCTTGAAAAAAAGTTATATCGTTGCTAAAACTAAATTACGAGTGAAATTCATTCAACGAAACAACAGACAACATCGCATAAAATTATGAGGATGTCTTGAGTCGCCATATTGATTTGTGATCTAGAATTAATGTATGTTTGATTACATTTTTTTATTCATATTGGGCGTGGTGTATTTTGTGTACATTGTTTCAAAAAATGGACACTAATAGAATTGACATTTTCACAGAATTTAGATATTTGATATTTTTCTAAATTACATGATGAACTATTAAAAATTTATAGTCTACTTATTCATTGAAAATGATGAATATGTATATTTTATACATAACAATTTTCTCGAAAATGAAATGATTGATTTAAAAATTTACACATATAAATAAAATGCATTAATGAGCATATTAGCATAATATTATAACAATAATGTTATCTTTGAATTTCTGACATCTTTTCTTATATATCTTGTCTTGGATCGTCGCTAATTACAGTTTACGAATAATACAAGCAGATGAGCCACAAAAACAATCGCAGATGTAAATATTTCATGCTGCGCCGATTTGCCATCGCGATTACAGAAAGAGTCCTGATTTCTCCGCGTCCGCGACTGTGCGGTCTACAATTGTTTGATCGCTGATAGAGACTGGACTTCTATATAAAGTGGTAGTTTCTATACGCGGAACTCGCGTTTAACGTCCATCACGAAGAAGAGGTCCAGGAACGCGAGCGACGGAGGTAAAGGCCTTTAATGGTGCGACGAAGAAACTCGGCGGTGCGGCTGGCCGAGTCGAAGATCAATTCCGATCTCGAGGCGGAGGCCCTCGACCGTGTTGCTCGACGTAAGAAAGTAATCGACGAAACGGCGAGACGCCTAAGGAAAAGTGGAGCGCTTGCTCGTAATTCGCGGATTTCACTGAAAAAGCCAGCCGCCAAGTCCGCGGAGTCCGCGGAGTCCGTCTCGTTGCGATATCGCGGATCCCTCGCTCGCGATCGCTCGTTACGATCGAGCTCACGAACATAAGAAAGTGATTCTACTCGCGTCCGAGAGGCCCAATCGCGGCTGCGCGCGCGTGTTTTCACTCGAGCGGAGAACGGAGTAACCTATTTTGTCTTTACGTTCTCCGGGTTACGTCCCCGGGGCCGAGCTTTTCCGAGCGATTTCGCCGCGCCGAACGAGCGAGCGCGCGGGCGAACAATTAGCCGTTAATTGTAAATCTCTTATCGTGAGATTAGTTTACGGACGAGGAGATCAACCACCTCGCGCGCGTTTGCGCAAGTCGAGTCGATTCGACTTTCGAATCGGTGCGCGATGAGAACTACGCCTCCGTAATTAAATCCAATCAAGGGGATTTCGCACGTGCGAATGACGTGCGCCCCGACTATCTCGCACGCCGGCTACAGCGCGAATAAGCCGGATGTCGATAACTTCACAGCCGACGTAATCGCAATCGTTGTTGGAAGAATAATCTTTAACATCGGTTTCGCAGCCCCGTATACAATGGTAAAATTTTTTCGCAGACATTCATATTACATAAAGTGAATGATCCTGTGTGCGTGTATATACAAAGAATAACACAAATATTATCGTCGCTGTGTCGTAACTTTAATTAAAAAGTATAACACGTCATCTGTACGTAACTTCAATTAATACTCTAAATTGCAAGACCGCGAAAGTTTAATTGAAAATAAATTCCTATAATTTTTTCTCGCTCTCCGTTTAAATATCGGTCGACTCGCTTTTTGTAAAAGTTACCTGTTGTTCTTGCTCGTGCGAACGACTCACTGACATTCAACGGGGTCGCGCAGGATACATTCCCAGACTTCGCGCAGGAAGTCGAGCTGGAAAACAAGAAACGAAACTCCGAGAGGCGATTTCGAAGGGAACAACAAAACACGACAACCGAGGGCTCGCGGCGGACTGGGCTAAAGCGAGCGCGCGGCGCACGTCGTGCGAAAGAGCGGCGGAAGGGAAGCGCGGCGGGACGAGCCGAGCGCGGACGAGCGCGAACGAGCGCGGCCGAGCATCGAGCAGCTGGTCGTGGGAGTCGAGTCGCCCGCCGCTAGGTAGATTATTCGGTGAAACGGAGGCTGATATGGGTGGTGGTACCAGCCACGGTCGGGCCACGGCCCGTCCTCATCATCCACCTATTCCCCGCGACCCGTTCGTCATCCACTCGCATTAAAGAGAAGAAAAAAAAAGAACGTTGGAACGAGAGATTAGAGCGGTAGATTGGGGCGATTACTCGCGAGAGGCGCGCACCGCGCTCCTGCCACCCGGCGTAATGACATTTCCGTCTCCGACGAGAGATGAATCGAGGAAACGGTATGTTGCAAGGAAGGAAGGAGACGGGAAGGCGGATTGCGATAGATCGTAGAAATTCGTACCTCTGGAATAACTCGCGAGAAAGAAAGAGAGGAGAGATCGGGAGGGACTGGTCGGCCGCGAGAGCTGTCGCGCCAGGTCTCTTCCAGTCTCTTCGTAGAATGGAGTAGCGATCGTTGATGGTAGATGATCCGATAGAATGAGAAGGGATAGGAGAGGATGGCGGTACCAGCCACGGGGCCGCCGAGAGCTTGTCCGTCCTCCATCGCGGACTGCAGATTGTTACAGGGAGGAGGAGAAAGAGGAGGAAGAGGAGAAGACAAGGAGCGAAAGAAAGAG